ATACCTGGTTGTGAAGCGTGTGCCTCCTAACTAATTCTATTGAGCCTTCCCTCGTGAGACACCACATGTCAGATCCGTATTGAAGGATCCTTCATCATGTCTTTTTGCCTCGTCGCCTCATTATCTAGAGGAGAATCTTTGATATTGTGATGATCATGGCTATCGGCAGATGGGAAGTAGGATTCTCTGATTAGTCCCACGTTTACCGGGGTATTTCTTCTGGAATAAGAGGGCAAGGCGCAGTTCTGCCCCTTAACCATCATAGTAGTGACTCCGCGTTGGCGAAGGCCTAGGCTTGGCCTCAGACTTGATATGACCATGTTCTAACCAGGCCAAGCTTGGTGTTAGTTTAACTTCTCCTTTTTTGATGTTCTCCTTAAGGGATAGATTAACAGTTAGAAAGGTTATCGGTGTTATGATCCATCAAACTAGAAATTGTATGTCTCTTGCAGTGTCACTTTTTTGGAGCACATTATGTTCTATAGAATTCATGTCCAATCACATGGTGGAACCCGAGAGGAGCTTCATATTATTGACCTGTTTAGTATTGACATTGATGATCCACCACTTGCTGTTGAACCACCACATGTCGCTGATCCTCTACCTGCAGATCATCAAGACCTCCTCCAAAGAGTCCTTATCGTAATAAGAAGCCCAAAAAGCTTTCTAACTGTGTCTATTCCTCTTACTCACCAGTTTTTGCCTCCTTTATTGCACATGTACATCGTCTCTCTGAGCCAGCATCCTATAAAGAGATCATTTCTGATCCGCTTTGGCAGACCGTTATGGTTGAGGAACTTCCATCTCTTTATCAGACTCATACATGGGATCTGGCTCTGTTTCCCCTTGAAAAGCACACGAATGGTTGTTGTTGGGTATATTAAATCAAAACAAAGTTTGATAGATCTGTTGAGTGTTATAAACCCAGACTTGTTGCGAAAAGATATGCGCAAAAGTATGGTATGGATTATGCAGAGACGTTTGCTCATGTTGCAAAAATGACAACTGTTCACACCTTGATTGCGGTTTGTTCCATTCGTTATTGGAAGATTTATCAGACGGATTTCAAGAATATGTTTTTGAATGGTAATCTTCGTAAGGAAGTATACATGTCTCCTCCCCCTAGTGTTGGATAAGGTGTCTAAGTCCATAACTATTTCTGGTATGTACTTGACCCGACCCAGCATGGTCCATTTGGGTTGCATGGAACCATGCAATTGGATAGACTAAATTAGAGAAATAACACTTGTGGTTTATTAATATATTATAAGTTCTAATATATTAATAATATTATTTAATTAGTTTGATCAAGAATTAATTAAGTGATCAAAAGAAAACTAATTAAATATATGGGTTGATTATGTAAATCATCCATATCTTGTATAGTGGGCTAAGAGGCTCCATGGATAATCAAGTTGGGTTAAACCCATTGGATACTCCATGGAGGCTCCATGCGAGTTACAAACCCATGGTTCATGGAAATGAAGAGTTATGACACATTAGGGTTTACATGGTGTAACCCTAGATGTGTCAACACTATATAAAGCTCATGTTTCTCCCAAAATCGGCTACACATGCATGCTTGAGGGCTAGAGCCGATTTTTAGAGTGTTATACTTTCTCTCCAAGTTTACTCCATAGCATTTGGTGTTGTGTGAAGCCTTTGAGGCATCACACTTGGGGTGCTAGGCTCACAAGGTTTCAAGGATCAAAAACAACAAC